CAAAGCACTTTCGGATTATATATCAATTCATTCACCTTTCTGCTCAGCAACGGCTGTCATTGTATTTAAATTAAAGTTCAAGTTGGTCATCTATGTGGATATACATATGTATCAACCGATTTCTCTTTCTCTGATATAACAGAAGAAAAGTGAAGAGCAATTCCAAAATTTCCGAAGCTGGCCAGACACCAGACAGAAGACAGTCGCGTCTACGCGTGCCAATAGCTGAAATACTTCTGAGCGCGTAATTTAAAGCTCTGCTCCAGCGGATGGCGATTATGGCGGCAATTAGACATCGACACCCAGATTGGGGCTGTGTTCTTTTATTCGTTTTATCATGCTGCTGATTAAGCGACGCGATAACTGGATGCTACCTGCCGCATTCCCAGCCCGCTAACGTGTCATTTGTAGGCTTATTCCAGTGCCGTGCCACCACTGGTTTTACAAGCGGCTTTCATGCAAACATTGGTAATATAACCCAGACACAGAGCGCCCTCTCAATTTTTGCGATCTCATCTCTCCGCTGTGGGAATTGTTATTGCGGAACCGGCACCGTCACCGTCACCGAAACGAATCGAACCAAACCGAACCGATCTAACTCAACAAACCTGCTATTCCAAACACAAAACATTTTTAACATGTGTATACTCAGTGTACAAATTGCAGCAATTTTGTTATAAAATCTGCCATTAAGTTAGTGAAAAGCTAAGCTGCTTGCACATGGCATCGAAAAGTGTTTTTGTGGGGAGAACCCACAAACCGATTGATTGGATAATCGAATCAGACGATAAGCAGGGTACTGCCCATAGTAAAAGGCTCGACTACGATTTACCTTGTAGAGTTTCACAAAAGTGTTCTGATATAATTTAGCTTCTTGTGCAGTTTCTACTCGTGAACGCAGCTTTAACCAAAATTAATCTTTAATTTTGATATTCACATTATTTCCATCGGTATTTAGCTTTGGTCTGATATTCTTTTGCTGCTTGGATATCACCTTGTCTATGCGATCCGTTACTCTTTGACACAAGTCCCTGTGCATAACTTTAGCATTATTGGAGAGATCGGGTAGGTCTTTCACGTCTTCCTTTTCGGAACACTCCACAGAGCACTTGTGCAGAAAATCATCGGCATCCCATGGTTGCAGCTCGCTCGAACCCCAAATAATGTACACCCAGTTGCTGAGAAAGAGCACAAGTGCTATCAGGCAGAACACAATCTGCCACTGAGAACGATTCGCCTGCGGAAAGAAATTTGGAAGCTGGAAATGGAAGATCTAAAGCTTTAGCTGAGTAGTCGCACTCACCGGATCCGTAACAATGGCACCCGTAATGAGCGGATTTAGCGGCGTAAGGACGTCGGACAAGACACACAAAATGCTCATCAGAAGCGCAGAGTGGTTGGGCGCCAGCGCAATGATGTTCATTGTTCCGCCAATGCTGGAGCCGGCACTAAGTCCCGCCTTGATGGCCATCAGCGTGACGACCCATCCGGCATTCGTTCGGTCCAGGAAGCCGATGGCAATATATAGCAGAGCAGGTCCCCAAGTGGATACCGTGACGATCCATTTTTTCAACGGAGTCGGGCGGATCAGCTCCCCCACTATAGCCATGTGGGCGATGAGGATATACACATGGGACATGATCCATCTGACAAGATAATGCAGCGACGAAGTCAGACCGTTCTTGGTGATGCTCATATGCAGGACACCATGCAGGTACGAGGGTATCTGCACCTCCATTGTGGAGTCGTCCCAGTGATGAGCACAGTTGACCACTACCAGGGCACGGAACGGCACTGACGAAATTATCGCCTGCCAGGGCACGGGTATGTCTCCCTTTGGGCATGTGTGACCACTATTCAGGGAGCTCTCAATGTGGTTCCGCTCGACATCGCCAATCCAATACGAGCTGCTGGGGTCGTTCTCTCCCCAGAAGAAAAAGAGCATGCACCAGCACAGGCAGGATGCTGCCGAAACATACGAAATTCCCGTCCAACCGATAGAACTGTTCGCAATGTAGCCACTGCCGAGCAGGGCCAGGACTGTACCGCAGTAAATGCCCGAGTAGGCGATTACTCCCATTTGTTCGAGCTCCGCTGGCGGGGACCACTTGGCCAGATGCTCGTGTCTGCAGGGTACCATCAGGCCCTGGCACACACCCTGGCACAGCCGAATCAAACAGAATGCCCTCCTATCTGGATACCCAAAGGCGTGCAGACGCTTAGCAGGGCTACGACGAAGGTTGGCACGATCATGGACATCTTGGCCCCCAGACTTCGGACCAGGAAGCTGCCCGGAATCTGCATCAGCAAATATCCCCAGTTGAAGCTGGAAAGGATGTATGATTTCTCGGCCTCTGTCCACTCGAATTGCTGTAATTGCATAATGGTCATAAAGGTAGCCATAAAGGTTAACCCAGATGAAAATTCTATTAAGATATGGTACCGGAAAACTTTGATTGGAGGTGACTTTCTCCTCCGTCATGGCCACTACGAGCACGCCCACGTTCAGGCGGACTATGTAGTTAACGGCCAGGTTGAGGAACAGTAGTGCCGCCTGCACATGGCGAATACCCAGCTGAGGACCTGGAGTGAAAGAGAATAAGGCTTAGATCAGCTGAGGAAAGATGAAAACCTACCCTAGTCAATGCATGGAAGTTGACGACTAAAGACACAAAAAAGCTTAAAGTCAAATAAATTTCCTGAGCGTATAACCTATTATTCAGATTCTTTTGTTAAGTGAAGTAATTCCAGTCAATAAATTATTCATGTCTTTTATGGACTTAGTGTATTTGGAGAATTTACACTTACATTTTGCTAACATCACTTTACCTTTTGCTGCCATTGGTTTTCTTGTGCGATAACTAACAGATCGGAGACATTATCCTGTGTTCTTTGCTGAAAAATTCGACAAGATCCAACCGAGACACAGACCCATTCGATCCGCACAGCAGCAAAAGTGCATCTGAATTTGACTTTGAAATGGCTTAGAGTTTATTGGAAAACTTTTAAAATCTAATTAATAAGTGTGTTTCAACAAAAACACTTGTTTTTAGTAATATTTCTGGTACATTCAAACTATATCAAGTAAAAAATAAAGTACAACATTTGTTGAAAATTAGTTATGCCACAAAGTAAAGATCCCAACTGAAATCAATATGCATACTGGAAAGGCTATTCAAATTATTAAATAATCTTGTGTAAATTGCTAAAGAACCTATTTGATAAGGATAAAAGCCCATTCACAGTTGAGCCACAACTTTTTGAGTAAAAACCTCACCTTTATTTAATAAATTATAAACATTTTCATGCATTACTTAAGATGCATATTAAAAGACTATTATATTTATTTTAATCAAACAAAATGAAAATGCATTATCAAATCATGCGGATGGATATTCCTGAACTTTTTATCTAACTCCCTAACGATATGAAGGATATTCTCACATATACTAATGTATGCACATACATATGTATATGTGTATATGTATGTAAGTGAATTGAAAAAATGTAAGCAAGCTTGCCCCACGAGCTAGCTACGGGCATAAGCATGGATAAGCGATGGCAACAAAAGAGCGGGGGGGCAGGCAGACAGCTTTTTGCTACGAGCAGCTGCAAAATAAATGCGAATTTCATGAAATAATGGCGCTAAAATACTTTATGATGCAAAATGTATGGCGCCACCAGCAAGAACAGCAATGGAAGCAGCCACAACAAGTGCAAGGAGATGTGTTTGGCGTTGTGGGCGGGGATGGGGATGGGCAGCACCAGCTAAGCGGCAAGCAGCTGCCACAATCAAGTCAACAGGAGGCAAAAAATGCTCACACAGATGCACACATGGAGAGATGGCCGCAACATGGTAAATGGACAGGACAGAGTGTACCGAAAGTATAGAATAGAGTATGTGTGTGTGTATGTGTGTGGGTCTAAGGTCATTTTCAATTTGCATAAATCATATGAGACCACGGGAGGATGGGACACAGTATCCGGCTGTGGCTGTGGCTGCGGCTGCGGAGCTGCAACAGAAGTTTTCTTTGCGTGAGTGTGTGTGAGCGATCGACTATAAATAAGCACGTTCTATTACTGGGCATCAAACCATCGAGAAACTTACCAAAAAATCTATATATACATTTGTATGTACTCGTATTTAAACAGACACTGCGTGTACGCATGGGATTTGAGGCGCCCGACTATCTGCAGTAGCTGCAGCATATGCTCGCAGCGGGTGAGGCTTGTTTTGGGATTGGCCATCAGCTAGGCGTAGTCATGAGGTCAACCGCATCCAGAGCCAGCCACCGCCGGGCAGTGGCGGCCCAAGCTAGGATTTTGATTTATAAGACTTTCATATGGCGGCGGTTGGTCGCCGGTCGGCTGTTTGGATCATTTGTGAATCATGTCAAGCCGTTTTTGACTTTGATTTATATGCTGTGCATATACAGGGGCCTCTCCCGCAGCACCCATTTCCTCCGAATGACCAATTGTGCTCGGGATGAACGCGCATGGAGCGACATGGTCGGCCGGAAACCCAGACGACAAATGCTGGGAAGCACAGAAGTGCAAAAGCGAAAATGGGAAATGCAAATGCAAACGGCGCCGCCAACATGCCACGCCCACCGCCGCAAAACATGCCACTGCAACCGAAATTATTTGTATCAAGCCGAAAATTTCATTTCATCCGAAATGCAGGCAGGTCCACCGAAATTGTGTTCTCTCTGTGGGCTGTGTCGCTTCATTGTCCCCCCAAATTGAGCCGCATTGTAAAATTTACGTAAAACCGCTTAATTGCGTTGAAATTATTTTGTTTAACTGAGGCCACGAAAAGGGCGAGCGAAATGCATTTCCGCGCGGTTGTACTTCCTTTAGTAATCGTAGTTCCAGACTAAAGAAATGTCTGTGGAGAAACCAGGAACGAAATTTGCGAGTATGTACATATTTAGTTGAAATTAAAAAAGGTGTGGCTTGATCATAAAAGCATAGCTTAAAATAATATGCATATTTAATAGCGAGTAAAAAGTAGTTGGCCTGTTCCTCAAAAAAAAAATTGATATATGCTTAGACCTTTAAAATGTCGCCATGTCGACCTATAAAATGTGGCAAAAACCAAGTAATACAAATAAACTTATAATTGTAGTTAGCCATAACTGGAGTGAAAGAATATACAAGAGACAATGTAGAATATGCCTCAAGTATTGAGGCTTCTTGCACGATTCTTATGCATGCTTTCGAATGCAGATAGCCCTATTGCTGCAGTATCATATTGAACTTGGCTATGGCCTCGCCCACGTATTTCTCCTTTTCAACCATCTCGGATTTGAGGAGCGCTCGAAACTGCTGCATATTGGGCATGGTGCGACAGTCGCGAACGTTGAGGAGTCCTCGGAAAATGGTCTCCCAGGTTTCGCGCTGGAAGTAGCGTGGCAGGGCTGTCTTGGGCATCCAAATGCCGCTCGGCTGCCGCTGGGCCACCTCCATGTAGCGACCAAAGAGCAACACATGCATGACGCTCGCCAGACCAAACAAGTCCAGCTGATATGTCCAGGGGCGCTGGGTGCGCATTTCGATGCACTTGAACGATTCATCGTGGTGCACATAATTGAATGCCTGATTGGGCGGAAAGAGCTTGGTGTCGATGGCCACACCGAAGTCAATCAGCTGCAGGCTTAGCTCGTTAGGTTGCGCACATAACCTGCAGAGAGCGGGGGAATAGTAAGTAAGCACAAAGCGCAAAGGGAAAGGGAAAGCAATATGCTTACGGTCTCATGACCAGAATGTTATCCGGCTTGATGTCCGAGTGAATGATGCCCATGGCGTGCAGATGATCCACAATGTCCAGCAGCTGGCAGCTCATGTGCATCACAACATACTCGTCCAAGTTCTTGTTGGTCTGCTTCTTGATCTTATTGCACACATTTATTAGCGAGCCGTACTCCGAGAGCTCCGATATGTAGACACTGGAGTTGTTCCCCACCAGGGCATAATCGATGTGCATGAAGGCTGGGATCTGCAAGAAATTCGAATTTAGGAGAGGAACTAACAAGGTTTCTCCGTTCCAGCTCTCACCATTTGGTCGCTGGTGAGGCGACTGTGGACCTCCAGGCATATATAAAACTCCCAGTAGTTTGTGGGTCGCTCCTGCTTCAGGGCCACCTTTTTACCCGACTTGCAGTGTCGTCCGGCAAAGACCGAACCGTAGGCTCCCTTCCCAATGATTTTGACCACCTCGAATTTCTCGCCTTTCAGCTCCATCTTCGTGCCCGGAAGCAGTCGCTTGGCATTGCCCACCAGCTGGCAATGGGGCAGCTTCTCAATGTACATCGAAAAGTCGATGGAGTCCAGCAGGGAGGTGATCAGATCCACATTGAACGGATTCATATTGATGTCGGCCAGCGTACTGTTCAGCACTGACTGATCAATGTTCACCTTGGGATGGATAAATTGCTTTTTCGGCGGCGTCTCAAAGTCTTCCTGAGCCCACGAATGGTTCGATTGCTTTGGGGTCAAAGGAGTCGTTTTATAATAGATGGTCATCTCCCCCGCCTCTTTATCTGCATCTGCATCTGCACCTGCCCCTGCATACGCCTCCGCATTCTCATCAGCATTCGCCAACAAGTCGAGGTTTACAACGGGAACAGCAGCTGGTGGCGGCAACAGCGTCGAGTTCTTGATCATGCTTATGTTGGTGGCAAACATTTCCGTCGCCGCATTCAGCTCAAAAAAGTCGCTAGACTGCTTTTCAGCTCCGGCTATACTCTTCTTGGGCGATTTTCTATGCGATTTTGACATGGAATCACTGAGAAACTTCAGAGCGGTGGAGGAGCGTTTGGTGCTTGTGGAATCAGCGGCATGGGCAACGGCCGCAACTGGAACGGGCAGCGTAAGAGCACAGCTGCTCAGCTCTGTGCAATCCTTCATAAACGAGGCCATCAAGTGGGCTGGACCAAAAGTCTCCTGCTTCTCAATGGGATCCTTCTGTACTGGCATCTGCGTCTCCGGCAGCGTGCAGTCTAAGGCAAAGCTGCTGCGTTGGGCAGCACCGGGTGGAGCAGCTGGCTCTGGCATGGTTTCGTCCAAAAAAATTTCAAACTTCTTTTGCATGGACGCGGGCGCGGGCATGGCCGTGGCTTCTGGCTTCGGCATTGCCGTCGCTACGGACCTGGACTCAACTGCCGCAGCCTGAGTTTCCGGCACAAAAGAGAGATCTGTCATAAAGGAATCTTCTAACTTGCTAATGCTGGGTGCGGCTGCCGGCTGGTTCCTGGCTATCGCAAAGGAGCTCTTGACATCCGGCGCCCCTCGAATGGACTTGCCGAAGAAATCTGGCGTGGTCTGATCACAGATGCGCTTGGAGCTGGCATTTCCCTGCAATGGAGAGCCGGAAAGACGGAAAGTCTTAAACTTTGGCGGCGTTTTCCCAAAAAGTCCACACAAGTCGTCCTCGTCGTCCAGCGTGGGCAGTTGCGGCGCCAGACTCGGGGCACCGGCCGCCGAGCGCTGATGGAGCGAAAGTTCCGCCATCGCAGTTGGAAGCCTGGGCAGAGTCTCAGTTTTATCCTCCTGGAAGCGGGGAAGAGCTCTCGGTATGGTCTCGGTCTTGTCCTCCTGGAAGCGCAGGGACTTCATCATCGGCACGCTGGGAGCATTGGGCTCCCATAGTTCGCGACGTGAGAAATTCCCACCAGACTGTCGCTCGGGTTCCTCGCCGACTGTGGACAGCTCAGAGGCACCCAAACGCTGCAGGCGCGCTGCTGCTGGAGTGCATTCCTCACTCGCACTCCTGCCGGTCAGCGTTAGGGCGGTGTGAGATGCCGACCCCGATCCCGGAGATGTGGCTGTGGATGTGATGGTCGACTTGGTTGTTGTCGCCGCCGAGCTGTGCGTGCCGTGCTCTGATGTCTCCAATATCGTTGAGAGTTGCTTACGTAGATTTGGCGAACAGGTCTCCACTGGCGACTCGACGGATGCAGTTGCGGGTGAGATGGCTTCCTCAGGGTCCGGTGGCAGCTCCTTGAGGACAGTGCCAAACTGGCGCGCCGGCACCTGTTTTTGGGAGCCCTTGGGCGTGCTCACCGCCTGGTTCTTGATGAACATGTTGAACATCTGGGTGGAACAGGTCTCATCCGCATCGAAGAAGGCACTCGGCGGGGGCTTGGAGCTCGACGGTAGCGTAGGATCCTCTGAATCTTCGTATATCTCGATCCTGCGATGCGGTGGGGGAGCAGCCGACACTGGTATGGCAGGCATCGCAAACTTATCTTCATCTGCCTTGGGGGGGACGGGAGTGGGGTCCGAATCTTCAAAGATTTCAACAGTCGACTCGATTCTCTGCTGCGGTACAACTAGAGACGGGGACGGCGCTGGAAGTATTGCTGAAGCAGTCGCCTGCTCGCCGGCGTCATCCTCCTCCTCCTGGACTATAGACACTCGGGGAGGCATCAGGGATTTCCTCGATGAACCCTGCTGGGCCGGAGGGAAGAAGCTCTTGCGACGCGGCATCTTGTTGCCGGGCAAGCAAACAGTCTCCTCCATGTCTAAGCTGCCGTGCACAGTAATATTCCGCTTTTCGAGCCACTTGGCCGCCAGTATCTCCTCTGCCTGGTATTCCTGCTGGTCCTCGTCGTTGTAGAGCTTGCCGAACACAACCTGCAGACCCGGAACAAGGGGCGGCTTCCAGTACTGGTCGAGTTCGTCGCGTGGCTGCGGCTTGGAGGCACTGGCAAAGTTCGGATAGCGGCGCACACTCTTCAGGGTGTGGCCCGTGCCCCACCACTCGTCGTTGCGCAGCACGAACGGATGCTGCACATCCCGGCGCTTCAGGAAACAATAGGCGAGGTACTCCTCGGGGGAGAACTCCAGGTTGGGGCGCGGGTACAGCATGCTCTTGTGGTAGCACGGCAGGCCGTTTGTGTTCGGCTCATCCTCAATTGTTACGGGCGTTACCCAGGCCTCCTGAGGCTTATTTTTCTCCACAAAGTTGGGCGGAAGCTTTAACGGTTTATCCATGCAGCGCTCGTAGTTGGTGATGGGCGGCAGCCTCTGCTCATCAATGTGTATGTCGAATGCCAGCTCTGGAGTGGCATTGCGGCCGAATATCTTACCGGGCTTATGGGGCTTCGCGTGGGCCTTGTTCCAAGCCACCGACTCCTTGAGATTCTCCTGTCCTCGTGCCGCGTCGATGATCGATCGTAAGCTCGACTTCACTTCCGTGTCCACAACTGGAGGCGGGATATTGATATCGTTGTTCTCATCGTTGAACACCTCCACATTGCGACCGGCATTGCGCGCGCGACTTGTAGTGGGAGCATCATTCTGGGGGGAGAAAAATCACAGTCAGAGATCCCTTGAGATGGGCTTAAAGCTAAAAGGCTGCTCTGAAACCAGCACTCACCTGCACCACGCCCGGAAACTGGCTCTTGACCGCTCCACCAGTGCGCACGCTGCCCACTGTGACGGTGTGGCTGCTCCTCGCACGGCGACCATGCAGTGACTGCAACGCCAGACGACGCTCATTCAGCTCTTGGGTGACGGCATTAGCCTCATCACCATCGGAGTAGAGCATGCGCTGACCAACCGTGTAACCGAAATGCTGATGGGCCTCCTGCAACTCCTCCTGCGGCTCGGCACGGCATTGGAGGCCCAAACGAAAAATCTCGTCGGCCTTGCGCATATTGCCGCTCAGGTCGTAGCTGTATGCCCAGGCAATGTAGAAGTCGGCCAGCATCGTGCCGATTCCGCTGTTGTACAGCTGCTGGTAGCACTCGATCTGGTCCTCCTGCTTTTCCATCTGAAGGCCACCACAAAAATGTTCTCGCATCAATTGGCAGCTACTGGTACTTGGGCAAACTTACGAATTTGATGAAGAGCTTGATGAGCCGCCTATCCTGTCTGTACCGCTCATCCTGCTCGAATTTTGTCAGGCATTGGTATAGGGCCGTCTGCAGGCCAGAACCGCTGCCGCCGGCGGGATAGCTCTGCTCGATCCAGCAGATGTACGCATACCACGGCTCAAGCGGATCACTGCCATTGTATGTGTGTACCTCCTTCTCCATTTGCTTGCGCTGCGCCAGGAGCTCCTGGCTCTGTGCGGAGTCCTGAGAGAGGGACGCCTGAAGCAAGCTCACATTTCGACCGCTGGCCAAAGGCTGTATGTTTTCCTTCGCGTTGTCAAAGTCCATTTTCGTTTTGGATTCGTTTCTTTCTCATAAAATAAGAAAACAATGGAACGACAGGCAAGTGTAAAAGTAAATGAAAATACGCGCCGAAAGAAATGCTAGGGATGGTAAAGGCATGTGTTGCTTCATGTTTTTTCCCACAAACTATCGATAATGTTTTTATCGATATTGTGTAGCTCAAAACGAAAAAAAAAAAAAAACGGAACAGCTCCCACCGAAGATGACTGCTCGCAGATCCGAAGTCCTGTCGCAGATAATTCCATTGGAAAAAATACTGTTGTCTGGTTAGATATGAAATTTAAAAATTAAAACTAAATGGGTCGAGCGGTACTCTTTATATGTATCTACCTATCTGTTGCTCGTTCATTTATGATACGAAATTAAAATTTTCAATTTTTAACTGTCACCACTCCCACTCCTAATGTTGTGAGCCTGCCATCGTAATTTCATTAACTATCGATTTTTCAATTAACTATCTATATTTAATAAACTATCGTGTGGTATGGTCGATTGTCGCCCATCTCCCACTCTCCCACTCATAATGTTGAGAACCTGCTATCGATGTTTCATTAATTATCGATTTTTCAATTAACTATCTATATTTCATAAACTATCGTGTGGTAGGTGGATTGTCGCCCATCTCAATAGAATAAGTCCAATGTAAAAAGAATCGGCGCTGATCAATGCGGCTACGTAGCTGCGATCAAAATCAAATCATCCCTGCGATGATTTATTAAAAAAAAAACGAGAAGGGACCTGTGAGACGCTTCTATCGCGTCGCAACTTGTAAATCCGGCACTCATCCAGTACTACATCTGCACCTTAGCGATGTTTTGTAAAATTTTAAATATTTTCTTCATCTGTCATCTACATCTACAACACTTCTCACACCAACACGCTCCTTAAGATCGCCGCCCTTCCCTAGACCCACACACTGCAGACTCGCGGCAGCGCCCGCACACAAAAAACAAAAAAGAATATATGCTGCGGGACAAGGAAAAGTCAGCAAAAGCATAGGCAGAGGGACGGCAGCGGCAGAGGCCGTGTGAAGCAGAAGCAGAATATGAAAAGAACAACAAAAGCTGCGGGACAGGGTGGGTTTAGCCACTGGAAATTATTTTCTTCATTGTAGCTATAATAATGATGCAATTGGATCCCAATTTGGTGGTCTGATATATATGGCCATTCCCTACGGAATGGTTATGGTTTAATTAGTTTTCTTTTATCTTCAAAATTGTAGGTTTGGGAGGTTTTCACCCTTTTGCGGGGGCGGGGCTAATTTTTGAAATACACTGGTTTCAGTGTGAGCATATAGCAGTCACAACCGTTACTCACACAAATAGAATATACCCTATTTACTCTTCGAGTACCGGGTATAACAAAAGAATCGGCGGCACGACAACACAAGTTAATAAATGTTCTTGTTCTTATTCAGTATAAACATTCTATTTGGTATTTTCGTTATTCTTTGCCACATGGAGGGGCAACATCTTTAAATCTGTTAATTTGGTCGTCGAATTCACGCAGTGGTGAAATGCTCAAATAAATGCACTCGGCCATGCACTGTGCCCTTGGAGGCACACATGGCCCTGGTGCTCATGGAGGAGCACATAGCCACGTTGCCATGGGAGGCACACGTAATCCTGGCGCTGCTGGAGGCGCACATGGCTTCAGCCTGGCTGGAGTAGCATATGGAAGTCAACCCTATCGATAAATTGATGTCAACGGAAATATCGGTATGTATAGGTTTGATGTTGGTGGAGACGATTTGCGTGGTGACATTAATAGTCGTTTGTATGAACAACAGCACTCCCAAAATATAAACCCACGAAAATTGATAAGACTTACATACCTGAATTTTATTGCAACCCTAAGTCAGGGCCCGCATTTTCAACAATGTATTGTGAATCAGCAAATTACTAAAAATTTGAATAATAAGCCGAATTGTCGACTATTTTATTCCCCATCCAGAAGCAAGTTATTTCGAAACAATAATGGGAATGGTAAAAAATACCTGGGACTATCTACAAACGCTATCAGCAGCATATCCGTGTGGCTTGATGGCAATGCCATTCGATGGGAATGGTGTGCCACCACTAATGCAGAACGTGGAGAAGCACAGGCGGGCAGGAGTTCACGAATTCGCAGGAGTTCAAAAAGTCGGACGAGCAGTTCGTGGTTTAGGTGGAGGAAGGAACCTCAGAAGATGAAGCAGATGATATTCATGAACTGGAGGATGCGTTCAACAAACTCGCTCCAATCCTTTAATCCTGATGATTCCCATTTTTAGTAACTAAAAAAACAAAAAAGTAATACAAATAATTATACAAATTTTTTCCGTTTTGATCTTACCGCTTGACCAGCACAGACGGCACTGAGCTCTATAAGGGATCTCCGTATGAGGAGGCACAAAAATATTGAGAATCGCCTACTCTTCTGACATTTTATGATTAACCAACACAAATTTACAAACATGACTGAATAAATTGTGATTTTAAGCGGAGTTTTATTCAGTCTAACCCACTGATTAATACGACTTCAGTTCCAGATTCCAATCGAGCAAAGCCAGATGCCAGATGCTGAGCCTCAGAAGCTTCAAGAGACACCCCCAGCATGCATAAAGCCAAAGTCCCAGTTTATGCCCAGGACTCCAGGTAGCTGAAAGGTTCCTGCTGAGGCCAATGTTTTCTGCAGCATCTCATTTGCAGCTTCCTTTATTATACCCGGTACTCTTACGAATAAATAGGGAATATTGAATTTGTGGGGAAAAGTGGATGTATGTAAAGCAGATAAGCAAACGTTTCCGACCCCATTAATTACCGAATCGATATGTTTGTATACAAGTTGTGTAGCCTAAGAAGCGTCTTACACGTCCCTCCACGTTGTAAATACCTGGAGCTGTTACTCATTATGCGATGATCACGCTACACATGAGGATGTGGGCAAGAAAATGAATTCGCTAAAATCCCACTATTGGAGAACCAGGATGGGTGAAAAAATCATTGGAATAAACATATGACGTCCCAGACCCCAGTCCTAAAGTTTGCATGTACATAGGTATACAAATTTGGAGATCCTGTTGAGGTTGCAAAATACTCTGAAAGGAGCATCGAAAGATCAACTTGCCTTTGCGTGAGCTGTCAGTTTTTGACGTCACATAATATTCGTCTGTGTGTATATGTTATGAATTTTCTTTCAGCATTTCCAGCAAGATGCAAGGCCCATGTTGCACTAATCGAAATCATCACTGAACATTGAAAAGGATATAGCCGCGACTGCTTTACTTATTAGCATGTTTTGTGACAGCTATATATGCAGTATGTGTTTCAATTCCTCTTGTTTAGTGTTTTGTCTCGAAATCATCTAATATTTGTCTGTGTGTTTTAAGGTTTTTTATACCCGGTACTCGAAGAGTAAATAATGTATATTGTATTTGTGCACAAAAGGAAAAGTTTCCGACCCCTTAAATTATATATATTATTGATCAGCATCAATAGTCGAGTCAATTGAGCCATGTCTGTCTGTCCGTGCGTCCTTATGAGCGCCTGGATCTCAGAGACCATAATAGCTAGAGACACCAAATTTTGCATCTAGACTTCTGTATGCTCACACTGTTACAAGTGTATTTAAAAAATGAGCCACGCCCCTTTCCGCCCCCGCAAAAGGGCGAAAACCTCCCAAACCTACAAACCTCCGGGTAGCCCGGTAGCTCGGGTTAGCCCCGCCCCCTTCCACCCTCGCAAAAGGGAGAAAACCTCCCAAATCTACAATTTTGAAGATAAAAGAAAACTAAAAACGCTATTCTGTAGGGCATGACCATTACGTTGATATGCAATGACTGCACCATCAAGTGGCCCATGCGACACCAAGCCAAAGCATGTTACGCGCGGAACCCAGAAGAACGCAGCCCTCCTCCCGCCCAACCGACCGATGGGCGCTGCCGCATGACGCGCGGCACGATTAACCGAAACGGTCGCGAGCATGCAGGAAAGATAGATGTTAGGCTAATATTCGAGGAAAATTAGAGCTAAACACAACTAGACTAGAGCTACTATAGCTAAGCAAGCAAAAATTACCAAAATCAGAAACAAGACAAAACTAAAATGAAACTAACTACGGGAGAGGTAGGCTAGTATAAGAGATTTAAGAAGAGGAAGGGAGTTAGTTGAGGATATAATGTGGTAGAGGGAATTATAATCCGAGCATAAAACCCTAAAGGGTTCGTGCGAGGCATAATTCGATCTACATAGTGGAAGGAACAAAGGAATAAAGCGGCTCAGCAAGTCAGGGCTGTCTACATCCCCCTTGATCAAGGGGCATGTGCATAAAAATTACACCAAGCATTTGTCCTGATGTATGTTGTACTGAGGGCACCATACATATGAGCCGTATTCTAAAATCGGACGAACAAGCGAGATATAGAGAGTCTTCGTTGTATGGGTCATCAAATTCCTTTGACCACCTCTTTATAAACCCAAGCACACCCATGGCTTTACTAACCATGGTAGAAATGTGTTCAGAAAACTTTAACTTGGGGTCTAGTTAAACACCTAGATTATCAACCAATGTAATTCTCTCAAGATACCTACCGCAGAGGGTGTAAGGAGCCAGGAAGGGGCTGGAGCGATAAAAAGTCACGTCGAGGCATTAGGGTGTAACATATTTGCACCACACCATGACTGAAAGTTATTGAGATTGCAAGCGAGAGTGAGATGAAATGTCCTTATACTGGACGCAGAGCTTAACATCATCCGCATACATAAGTACTCGAGAATTTGTCAATTCAGAAGGTCATCAGGTCATTAATAAAGAGTGTGAAAAATAAGCGGCCTAAATGGCTACCCTGTGGTACTCCAGAAGTAACCATATTAGGTAAAGATAAGGAGTTTTTGAAAAGGACTTTTTGAGACCTAGAACAAAAAAACAATAGCTAAAAATCCATCTCAAAAGATTGGGCGGAAACCCTAGAAGGTTGAGCTTTTGTGCAAGAAGAGAATGGTTTACGGAATCGAATGCCTTACTGAAGTCAGTGTAAATAACATCCGTCTGCAAGTTACTTTGGAAGCCTTTAATTACAAAGGAGGTGAACTCTAAAAGATTAGTGGTTGTTGATCGTCGCCGTATAAATCCGTGCTGAGCTGGAGATATAAGTGATTTGCAGAGATGCTGCAAGTGCGGAGTTAAAAGTTTCTCGAACATTTTAGGAATAGCGGATAACTTAGATATACCTCTATAGTTTTTAGCGTCAGACTTGCTACCTTTCTTATGGAGAGGAATTATAAAGGATTCCTTCCAGATGGGGGGAAAGCTAGAAGAATGGATAGATAGAGTGAATAGTTTAAGCAAAGGTCCGCAGAGAGACTCGGCACAGTACCTGAGTACACAGCCGGGAACTCCGTCAGGGCCCGGTGAGAATACCGGCTTAACTAATTGAAGTTCATTTAAGAAAGGGCAGAAAATGCCATTCGACCTTGGTAGCTTTCCTGGGAATAGGTTGTTTGAAAAAATGTTGCAAAAAGATCGGCGATTGCCTGATCATTGTTTGCCGACATATTCAAAAAGCATAGCGAGGATGGATGTGCGGACGTTCTACGCTTACTGTTTACAAAGCTGCAAAACTGTTTAGGGTCCTGTGAAAAACGTATCCTGCATCAAAGGAGGTAGTTTCTATAGCATTGAGCATTAAGAACAGTGAAATTTTACAGAGCTATTAAGTAATTAGAAAGAGAAGAGCGAGAACCAACTTCTTGAGATTTTTTAAATAGTCTTGATTTGTTGTGTTTTAGACTGGATAACTCTTTGGTGAACCAAGGAGGCTTCGCAGATCTAGTCGGACATGAGAGTGGGACACACGAGTCAAAAATTGTGTCAAGTACATTGTAAAAAGTGTTTGTGCCTTCAATAACGTCAGTGCACGAGTACAGAGCGGACCAATCAAAATCCCTAATTAAGTTATTGAGCTTCGGAAACTCGGCTTTACGAAAGCAACGGACGCGTTCAGATAGCCTACCCGCACGATCCGATACAGTAGGTCCAATATCTATCGACACTTCGAAAGTAGGATGATAGCAGTCTTCAGGTATAGTGAGCGGGAGTGCTCGTGTTAACAACGCTACGGTCGGCTCCGAGACAAAGCACAGATCAAGCAATCGACGGAGCAAGGAGTTTTTTACATGGTTGACTTGAGACAGGGACAGGTCTAATAAGCCATCAATAAAATCATGTCGTGGCATGGGCACAAGGTTGTTTGACTCGTTAACCGGAAGACCAAAAAGTACCTGGCAGGTTGAAATCCCCAAGAACTATTAAATGGTTATTATCTGATAGCGAGGAAGAAACAGTTTTTAAGGCAGACAAATGCTGCTCGTATATTAGTACATCCGAAGACGGTGGAATATACGAGCAAGTGACATAAATAGACTGGCCGGGAAGAATCAGTCTAACACAGAGGAATTCCAGGTCTTGTGAGACCTGGACTATGAAAAGTTCCGACGTAAAGTTAGAGTTTACTGCAATCAGAACCCCTCCTCCACGTCGAGACGAACGATCATTCCTATAAATTGTGTACCGATCTGCCAAAGCTTCGGAACTAAGAATGTCCGGCTTTAACCAGGTTTCGGTAAACACAATAACATGCGATGAAAATGTGAAACTATCCATGAAAAGAGTGCTCAGCTTACTACGTAACCGTGGTTTAGGTGGAGGAAGGCAACTCAGAAGATGAAGCAGAGATATTCATGAACTGGAGGATGCGTTCAAGGAACTCGCTCCAATCCTTTAATCCTGATGAGCGAGCATTTTGATAGGCTACGAAGAGGGATATTAGTTTTTTGACTGCGAGAAATTGCATTTGGAAGAGGTGGATGGAGCAGAGGAGGAAGGAGCACTGGCCTCACTACTAGGAAGAGTTATGGGGGCCTATTTTTCTTCTTAGCCTTAAACTCTTTCACCACCAGGTGCTCTGGCCAAAATTTGGAAGAGCAAATGGTCTCGAAATGAGTTGGAGACACGCTCATCTTGAAAGAGGATATCTCCCCGGCATAAGAGAAATTAAACTTCTCAGCTCAAGCCATCGGCATTTATTTTTCTTTGTATAAAGGCACTTACATCATTAGATGTGAGGTCAGGGGCAAGCCGAGGGACAAAAACTTGCCGCTTTGGTGGGACTGCCACCAGAGGTTTTGGCACCACAGATCTGGTACCTGTGACGGCAATATCCGGTGGTCCGGGACGTTTATTAACTGGTGGGATCGAAATAGATGGGATGGGCTTTGGAACGGACTCGACAGACACGGACGCTACAGTATTAACTGGCTGCATGTTCTCCGAGATGATCGATTCGGTAGCCGAAACTTGATCACCAGCAGCTGTCGTTGTCCTTGGAGTGGCAAACGAAATTAGCTGCTGCACTATCGGAGTGGACGGA